GTGTATAAATAACATGAAAATAGCCAAAACGTGATACAGGACCAAAATACAACACGCTGTAAGTTAGGAGGCTAAATTAAAATCCAGCGAAAGTTCATGTTTCAGGACCGAAACGAAATGCGCTCAAAATCAAGAGACAAAAGTAACATTACAAGTTTACAACAAACAACCATTTAGGGACCAAACCGAGACGGATCAAAGATTGAAGGACCCACGCAGCTACTAACACACTATCCCAAAACGCAGATTACTCCCCCTGCTGTCAAGGCGCTGCCGTTTTGGCACCGACCAAAACTATGCCGTTTCACGGCCTCTTACACGACGCCGTTTTGGCGTTATGACAAATAGAACATTAGGGTAAACTCCTAAACCTGAACCCATTCTAACCCTTACCCTAAACAACTCTCAGCTGTTTTCTCTCAACCTTGGCCAGATACCCTACCGTTTCACCTCAAATCCCTCTCCTCTCTTCGCCTAACCCTACGCTAAAGCCAAGCCTCTACCGCCTCCGCCGTAGCAACCGCCGTGGTTACTACCTCCAAACGACCCCGACGAGAACACCTCTCCGAAAAAACCCAAAACCAAAGGCGCTAAACTAAACCCTTACCTTACTGCTAAACCACGCGACCCTAGCCCCGTTACCCGGTCGAACTATGACCAATCCTGTACTGAACCCTTCAAATCCCTAAAGCCCGAGACCTAAAACCAACATGCACGACTCGAAATCAATGGGAGATGAAAAGTTTTACCTTCTCACAGACGGGGTACGGATTCCTAATGACGAAAGCTACTGGATCGGAAGGGTAAGTCTCCTTTGCTTTCGTTTTGTTCTCTGGTTGCTGATGAATGATCTTCTGGGTATTTCGTTTGTGTGTTCTTTTGGGTTGTATTTTGTTTTTTTTTTGTTTGAGAAATTTTCGTTTTTTTTTTGTTCTTCTCTGTTGCTGATGACCCCCCCTGAGAGATCCTGTTACCCCCTTCCTTTCGTTATTTCTAGTTGATATTTTCTCTTTTTTTCTGTGCCTTCTGCTCTGCTTCTTGTTTGGTGCGTTTGCAGGTCACGGGCGCGAGCTGGTCACGGGGGTGGTCGATAGTTCTGGGAGTTCCTCCTGGTTGATCTGCACGATGGCTCGGTATTCACGGAGAGCTGTGAGCCGTTGGATTGTGAATTCAGATCCAACAGTGAGGGCTCAGCTGCGCATGGAGATGGTGAAAGGAAACCCTAACGGGTCTAGGGTTTCCTCAAACGGGCCACAATTCTCGGGCTCCCACTTTGGTTCAGTTTCATTTATTGGGTCAATGGGCTCTTCATCAATTGGACTTGCTGTAATTGATTTTAACAATTTTGGCCTGTAAAATAAAATGATTACTTAGTGAATCCATGTACCATATTTATTTATGTATATATATATATATGATCACACGCATAACCACATAGATAAATAGACAATCACTATATAATTAAACACACCCATACAACTAATAAACTAATAATAGTATAAATAAATAAACATATGCAAAACTTGGTAATAATAACTAATTAGTAATATGAGAACCCCAGACAAAAACGGGTGTCCACATAGATATAACAAATGAATTTTAAGATTTTGCAAATGATTTTCTAAGTATATTCGATATAATTATTCGAATATCAAAATATTACTCCAAGTCTTTCAAAGTTCATTTTAATCCTTACTAAAGTGTAAAATTGTGTTTTATACTTAACTATTTTAAAACAATTTTATAAAGTATTTCGAGCCTTAATCGAGCCAAAAAATATTTTATTTTTAAAGGGTTTCAAGAAAAATCAGATTGCCCAGGGGGTACAGATTCCCCCCCAAGGGGTACAGATTCCCCCCAAGGGGTACCGATTCCCCCCTGTCTAACGGTAAAAAATAGATTGCACTTAGGGAACCGATTTCCCATGAGGGGGTACCGATTCCCCCCATGCTCCAAGCTGTTTTATTAATTGTTTCTCATCCCCAAACGGCTCCAAAATATCCCCAACGGCTATATACGACTTCAAACACATTCCAAGCTATAAATACAACCTAAGGACACTTGAAGATGCACGAGAACAACTACCAAAGCAATCAAACACAAGAGAAGAGTTTTTCAATCTTATTTCATCTTTCTCTTGTAAATATTTTGTTCTTGTGAGCTTAATTCTTGTAAACACCTACCTTAGAGAGGTTTTCTTGTTTACATTTCTTATCCTTTTGTAAAGGGGAAAGGTTCTAGCTAATCCCGTGTAAAAGCTAGGGAAAGGTTCTAGCTAATCACGTGTAAAAGCTAGGGAAAGGTTCTAGTTTAGCCCGGAAAAACTAGGGAGTTTGTAAGGTTACTCTTTATCCTCAAAAGAAAGAACAAATTAGTGAATTTGTTGGAAAATCCTTGGTGAGGAGCTAAGGTAATGGATGTAGACTTTGGTTGAGAAAGTCGAACCACTATAAATCGCTGTGCAATTCTCTATCTTTCAATCTCTTTACTCCCTAAACACAAAACTGTTCTGACCCCTCTTTGCAAACCGTTCCGGTTGTCGATTCAAGCTTTCGAAAATCCTAACAATGTGGTGTTAAAAGAATAATTGTTTGCATGAACAACCCAACTATCTCAATGGTGAAAAGGACGATTGTTATTCCTAGAGGTCTTGAGTTTAAACACTAATTACGGTAGAATATTCAATTGTTCATTGTCAAATGTTTAATTATAAAAATAAAATGCGGCCATGTGCTCTCACTATTTGGTGGTGGTTGTTCCGTTTTCGATTCATTAAGGGGGCGTTTGGTTCGCGGAATCTTACATTACCAAGGGAAATGTTTTTTTTTCGAAATTATATTCTCACGTTTGGTTCACGGAATCTTACACTACCGGAAATATTCTTTTCCCAATAATAACATTTTTTGGTTAAAATGGTGAGAATGTCATTACCTCCAAATTCTTAGGTAATCTTACATTCCCACCACTTTGGACAAGAATACCCTTAGACTAATGAATTCTTTTTATAATGATCCTTCTAAATTCTTATTTTTTATACTTTACTCAAAATTATAAAAATAATAATAATATACAAAGAGTTTGATTTACTAAAATATTAATAATTTTGAGAATTTAAAATATTTATATTTTTAATATTCAATATTTTACTATTTATAATTTTATGGGATGAAAAAATAGTATTATTGTAAAAATGTAATTATTTAAAATAATATTTTACTACCATAATATTATTTTTATATTATATTATATTTTAGATAAATAAACATAATACTTATGAACATTGTTTAAAATATAAATTTAATATACTAATTATATTAATTATATATTAAATGTAATTTTCCTCAAAAGTTAGATAATATAACGATTAAAATATTTTTATGAATTTTCATTCAAACATTTATAAATTAATATTAAAGTTTAACTTTAAAAAATATATCACAAGGATAATTTGGTAAAATATGCATCCAAGTAATCTTATATTCCTCCAATCAAACACTGTAATCTTCCATTATTGCTAAACAAACCAAACAAAGTACTATAATATTCTCATAGTAATGTTACATTCCAGTAATGTTATTCTCAAAGGTAGTCTTGCATTTCGTGAACAAAACGCCCCTAAGAGATACTACCATATTCTATTCATAGTCGAGGACAAAACCCTCATAAAAGGGGAGAGTTTATGGAAAGGCAATTTAATTTAGGGTTAAGGAAATATACGATCGAAAATGTTATAAATAAACATAATATGTTTTGTTGGGTGTAACCTAAGTTATTAATTTTTTATTAATATTTTTTGGATACAAATCTTCTTCGTAACATTTTAGGTTGACAACAAAAAATGTTATTTTTCTCGTAATATTTTCGGTTGAACAAAAAATATTAAAAATTAACATTTTATGTTGCGCTTAACTGATAATGTTATGTTTATTATAAACATTTTCTTAGCCTTTAATTAGACTGTTGTACATCAGAACTATTCACTTAAAAAAATCTTCATCGAGTGCTATTACTTAAAATAGTGATGCACCCTCAAGCGAGTAGTTTTGCTATAGGACAACCTTAATATACGAATAAAGAAAAGTCTTATCAGAAATATTAATATTTTTTTAACATTTCAGATAAAACTCTATCTAAAATATTATTATTTTTTACCAGAAATTTTAATTTTGCTAATTAATTTTTGGTAAAGTCAATATTAACATTTTCAGTAAAAAAAATAATGTTTTAGGTAGTGCTTTACCGAAAATGTTAAACATTTTAGGTAGCGCCTAATATTAACTTTTTCAGTAAAAAAAAAATATTTTAAATAACGTTTTACCAAAAATATTAAAAAATATTAATATTTTCGATAACATCTTTATTTAATTATATATTAAAACTGTCACATTAGACATCCCTCAAGTATAACAACGGTGGCATAACAACGGTGGTTTAAAGTATCTCTATATTTTCAAGAGGTTCGAATTATCTTGTGTACTTTTCAGTATCGTGAACTTTTGTTATACCTTTTTACTCATCGATTATAAAATTATTTACTGAGAATCTTTTGAAGATTGTTAGAAAATTTTATAAGTAATCGTGCTGATCCTATCGGTAGATTTTGATAAATTATATATTATAATTTCATTGAAATTGTAATATAAATTTATATAAATTAAAATAGAAAATAACAATATACAATTTATCAAAATTTACATAAATTAAATAATTATAATTATTAAATATATAAAACAATAATGTTTTGAGTATTCATGCTTTGAAGTGAAAAGTTCGTAAAATGACGTACGAAAAATCAGATGGTAATTAATTTTTCAGAAAATGCAAAAGAAATTCAGTTGACCAGAAAAAATGAATTGCATTGACATATGTTTTCTACCAACCAAACACTGAAAAAATGAGATGAACAAAATGAGAAAAATCATTAAATGGACTATAACTCCCTCAACAAAGCACTTCTATGAACTAGTCGAGTTTTAAGAACAAAACTTCTTTACGCATTTAACTACACTTACTACAAGTACATCATGCACACATCCTTTCTTTGAAATTTCCGCACAGAACAGCAAAAACAAAAAAAGATAATTGCTTATGAAGAATTACCCGACGAAGAACTCATTATTTGGATCTGTCAAACGCAGACAGGAAGTTTATAGCAAAATGAGTCAATAACGTTATATATAAATCGAGATGAAGTTTTGACAACAAAAGGAAATACCTTATTCACAAGCAAGTTTACTTGTTCTCTGTACATTTCCTTCAAGTCTACAATGTCGGCTCTGAGTTACTCCAGCTGAAAAGTTTAAACCACTTGAATGTAAGAACATATAATATTCTCCTTTTCCTATGGGAAAACCAGAACGAGTCGGAAAAATTCGTTAACATCAGGATAGAAGGTATTCGAAATGGCTATTGCTTCTGAACATTCAGTTTTCATCCCGATACTATTTCAGCAAAGCTCATATTGTCTTCTGCTTAAGTGAAATAGTGATACCATTGATAAAATAACATTATATAAGCTTCATCACATCCTTGAAGTTAAATTTAACCATCTTGTCAAAAAAAATTAGTTAACCAGAAAAGTGGGAGAGTCCAAAATTAGAAAGACATGTACCTCTTCATCGCGTTCACCCATTAGCTCCAGCGCGGCAGTGCGTCTCCGCCTTAAAGCTTCTAGCTCTGCCCGGATTCCTGGCACCGTGGCGGCTTCTACCTTCAACTTTTCACACTGCAGTACATAAGGTTCAAGGAAGTGATTTGAGTAAGCACGATGATTTGACTCCCAAAAACATAACGACTTCTCTCTTACAAGTCCATTTGGAGGTGGCCGCCCCGGAAGAGCGAAGAGAAAGAACCAGAGAGCGGCTGCCAAGAATGCCGCTGGCAGAGACGGTGATGAAGAGGAAGACGAGTAAACCTTATGCCGCTACCACCTCTAGGGAACCTTTAAAAACGCCCTTGTTTCGAACTTTACCATTTACTTCGTGTTATTAGACATGGTTTGAGTTTTTTTTTCAAGACCTTTACTGTAGTGCATGTTGTTATCTGTTTTATTTGTTGTTGTCAATTTTTATTTTAATTGAGCAAAAAAAAGTAAGCACGCAGAGCAGATAACCTCGCTCCCACTTCACTGGGTAGCAAATCGAAAACTCACCTGTGCAGTCATTTTAACCAACTCCTCAGATAAAGAGTCACGGATGGATTCCATGGAAGCCTGAAGTAAACACCATATAAAGCTAGTTGATATAAGCTATTTAAACAGTAAAGATACGACCCACGACTTGAAATAAGGAAATATCCAGTACTAAGCACAGAGTTTATACTTGTAGTCAAGGACTCGATGGTTATATTTAAATTCAGGAGCTAAAACAACAATAATACATACCAAACGAGACATGTAGGAAGCAATTTCACCCTCCTTCTGACGAAGGGCTGATTCAAACGCATTGGGTGTCATGCTTTTCATGTAGAGTGGACTTAAAGTTGCCTCTCCAATATATCTCTTTTCGGATAAACCATCATATGAGTCCAAAGATGCTTGCAGAAAATAGCTTTCCTCCATACTTTCTAGGCTGCTAGCAGTAGAGAGTTTCCGGGACAAGCTTCCTGCTCCAAAGTTGCATAACATGTAAAGAGCAGCATAAGATCATCTAAATCATAATATGAAGCACCATACCGTTCTCCGAAGTGGAATTACGCCTTGCTATTGGAGCTTGCTCAGATACAGCCGTAGAATTAACATGCACCTTCTCTAAGTCTAACCGAGCAGCTTTCTCCTTTTCTACTTCCTGAGACAAATGAAAAGGTCCCTTCAGTAAATGGAACCATGAGGTCAGATCCAAATACTAACAGTTCAGGTAAAATGGTTCCTATGTTCGTATAGGTGTAAGAAACTCTCAAAAGAATGCCTCATCTAATTTCATCAGATAATTTGAGAGAATTTTCCAAATAGTAAGCTATACATGCAACTTCTATCGTCTGTAATCATGTGAAGAATACAAAATGGTCTTTTTCATCGTCAAAGGTAAAGAAAAAAGCATTTTCAAATGAAGATAGTTTTCTTTGAAGATACAGACACAAAAGGGGGAGATACTTGGTCAAACATGTGCAGAATGCAAAGTGATTAGTAGTAATTTTAACCTAACAACGAATCAAAAAGCACAACCAGCTGTAGACGTTCCCGGTGCACAAGAGCATCTTGTAACTCTTGCTTATTTTTCCGTCTTAGTTCCCTAATTTCTGCCTCAAGCTGGTTTGCCCGACCTTCTTGGGTATCGGCTTCCTCCTTTGCTGCATGGTATTCCTGCCTATTCTCTGCAGCTCTCTGCCTCTCTTTCTCAAGGGACCTGCTTATCTGTGTTTGTTCTTCTCTAAGACAAGAAATCTGAACCAAAGCAAAACAAAGGTTAAGCTGATATCTAGAAATGTTTCCACAAATAAAACATAAAATAGTCACAGATGAAATTACGTTAGTCTGTTTTAATAATTAAATTTTTAATTTTTTTAAAAATATACCTAAAATTGGTTTTTATTTCATTTTAATGTCCGTTGTATAGGTACTAAAATTTAACGTTAAGCTTTGAAAAAAACTGAAATTTTAGGTACTAAAATAGATCAAAATTGATAGTTTAGTTACTAAACGCATTAAATTTTTAACAACAAATACTAAAATGAAATGAAAACTAAACGTTGGACATTGTTTTGAAAAAAATTGAAAATTTAAGTAATAAAACATACAAAAACTTATAGTTTAGGTGTTAAATGTGTAGTTTACCCTAGATTCAAATAGTTCATTAACGTCAAATATTAAACCGAATAGTTATGACTTGGTATACTTATATAATTTCAATCCTCAAACGTTATAGTAAATTTTATCGATATGATATTAATTCAAATAATTTAATAAGTTTAATTTTATATATTAAAAAATTATAAATTTAATATTTTTTCTCTTAAACTGTTTATTCTTCTTCATAAGTATTATATTACTTTTGTTATATAATATAACAATTTAAGAATAATTTGTTGTTGCTTTTATGATTAAAATATATTTATCCATTGATATTTTGATTCGATGGATTCATTTATTTTGTGATAATATATATATATATATTATATTGATTTGATATAATTATTTGTATTTGTAATTTATATTCGTAAAATGATATTATGTTGAATTATGATAATAATTTATAAAAATTGAATTGAGTAAAATATTATATATATTATTATATAAAATTAAAATTTATGTATTATATTATCCTCTAACAAAGTTTATAAATAGTTTTGAGATTTATCCTTGTATATTATATATAACAGATTAAAGATCTTTTTAACAAAATCTAACAACTGCTCCAATGTAACTAACACATTTCTTCTCTCCTAAATACTCAAATTTTGGCTGCAAAATTCCTCCTATCTCTCTCTCCGATATCCATGTATGTAGAATAGCAGCTTTATTTATTGTTTGGTTGATGGGAAAATCAAGAAAGACGAAAGAAACGAGAAGAAAATCTTCAATCTCGTTGATTCGGCTTCGAAACACCAAAAAATCTAAACACGCACATGCTTCGAAACGAACAAATTTAATCGCCGAAAGCAACAGTTTCCTTTTCTTACATTTTTCCACCGATCAAGCTACGCATAGTATCTCTACTTTTGATTTTTCGAATTTAATTTATCGACTTACTTCACCTCTGTTTACATGGTGAATCCGAAAACCACAAAAAGCAAACGAAGCAATTCGAGATTAAGAATGGAGATTTCCCGCCAAAAAGGATCGAGTTAGTTGCAGTTCCATCTATTCCTTTTGTCCAGCCAAATGTGATAAAATCAGTTGAAAAGACGTCGGATTCAGTTAAGATTACAGTTACAGGGAGATCGTCAACATATTTCCCGCCAAAAAAAGAAGTTGACTAGGCAGCTTGTCTTCACAGAGTTCGGCCTATCTGCCGTCATCGCAACTTCACTGCCGTTTCCTGTGGAGAAGCTAAGCTCCGAAATGCAGTTGTCTCCTCGGTGTCCTTTTTCCTTAAAGTGGGTTTTGGTTTTTTTTATTTCCTTTTTTGAATTCTTCTTGCTTTTCCCTCTTTTTGTTTGATTGGAGTTCAAAAATTAGAAAAGGAAAAAGAAGAGAAATTTAAAATCAACTTTAGTTTCTGTTTGGTTGCTGAGAATATATCAGAGGGATAGATAAAGGAGAACAGAGATAAAGGTTCAAATTCACGATAGGCTTCTTCTTGCAATTTGATGTTTCTTAAAATCAAGGTTCTTTGACATTGTAAAATCTGATTCCAAATTTGTTTTTGTTTTTTCAAGCTCCAAGTCACCAGATTCTCCAATACCCTTGGTTAATGTTAAAGCAAACAATGGTACTCGGAAAAGTCCAAAACAATGCGGCTGCAAGCAGTCTAAATGCCTAAAATTGAGTAATATATACCTAAGTTTGAGTTGTCTTCATCATGCATTGGCTTCTTTCTTGCAAGGCTGCAAGTGCAATTCCAAAATATATAGAGCTCCATGTTAACAGTATTGTCTCTGATCTGTTCTACCAAGAATATACTAATATAACTGCAACTATTTTTCCATCTGTTTATCCTTCTCTTTTCCTCTGTATCCAAAGCATTGGTCTTGGCAAGTTTTTTATGATATTTGTTACTGCTTTACGATTTTTATTATTCCAAACGTATAACTCTGCTAGGATTTGGTTGATTAGATGCTACATTATGCCTTTTGTTTGGAATATAGAGTTGTACATTGCAATGCATTTTCTTTTCAAAGATTTAATCTCTCAAAATTCCCACGGACAAATCGATAGGTATTGCGATTGCTTTGCTTCCGGAGAGTATTGTAATGGGTGTATTTGCGCTGATTGTTGCAACAATGTGGAGAATGAGGATCTACGGAAGCAGCTTCTGAAATCATTTTAGAGCGCAATCCACATGCTTTCAAGCAGTCCATGTAGTCCTCAAGATGTTGTGGTATGTGACTAAATCTTTCAAATTTCATTGAAGTTTTCCCAGATGCTTTTTTGGGGGGTTGGTTTTGCTTGTCTATAAACTCATTGCAAGTTTGCATTTAAATTAATCTCTTTTACAAGTGGAGACGTTTGTTACCAGCTCCCATACAGAATGGTAGCGTGCAGCAATTGCTGATCAGTAGCTTTAGTTTATCTGCTGAGAATTTCTTGTCACTCTCCATAATTATCAATTGTCAGGTTCATCAGCTTGTTTCCACTTCTTTGGTACATAGAGTTTTTTTCATGTTTTATTTTAAGCAATCTAGTTCAAGACTTAATGAGAAATAATTATTGTATCATGTATAGGTGTTATCTCATAAATCTTGTATTGCGTGTGGACTTTATGTTAAGTTGGACCTCTTATTGTCAATTGATTTTAGGCTAGATGGTTATATCGTATCAAAGCCCAAGTTCTATTTTGTTTGCTTTGCATATTACTCATTCCTGGTATCCCTTCTGGGTTTGTCGCATGTTGGCTCTTGTTCCTCTGCCTAGCTTGTTGAACTCATATCGGTTAAATCTTAAATCACCTGTGGAGTGTGATCTTGTATTTAATTTAAACATCTCTAACTATTACTAATTGTTTTTAAGTTGGTAGCTTACCAATTATAAATTTATAATAACCCTACTTCAAAATAGGATGCAATAATAACGTTAGTTCATTGCCCCTTAATTGAGTGGTTGAGAATAGTGAAATTTGATCAAGTCATCTGTACATTTCTGTATCTCTTTTGTTCGGCATGAGGGCTTTCAGGTTTAGTTCAGATCATACATGTACAACTGATTTAAAAATGCAAATGATTTTCAGGTTATGTTCAGCTTTTATTATCTCTTGAAGTTATCTTTCTTGCTATTTTTACTTCATTGTCGACTACAAATGATTTGCAAGTAGGGTGATAAAATGGATGCTCCACAAGTGGGGAGACACGAGAGGGGATGCCACTGCAAGAAATCTGAATGCCTCGAGGTACTGTGAGTGTTTCCAAGCTAACGTCTTCTGCCCCCAGAACTGTAATTGTGTGGATTGCGAGAATTCTGAGGTTTGCAAGGAGTTGATACTGCTTCTTGCGAGGAAGACAGTAAGACCATAATCTGTAGAAACTCCGAGGGCAGTGAGGGGAGGATTGCTATTTCTCCAATGGATAATACCAACATAAAATTTTACAAGAGCTTTAAAGGATCTGAAGGGATCATGACAATCACCAGTGAGGATTGTACCGATTCAAAAATCTACATTCAGAGGGTTATTACTTCTGCAACATCAGATGCATCCGGTTTATCAGGCCAGCGCATGTCCCAGGAATCCAGGAAGAGGAAACTTCAGGAGCCTCATCCAAATGAGAAAAGTTCACCAAGTCAAAGCTTCTCTGATATACAAAAGGTATATATATATATTATTTGAAACGTTCCATTATTGTATTCACTTCCTGCTGTTGGGGCAATACCAAACTGCTATTTACAAGATTCCTTCACTTGAAACGTGCAGAGGCTAACTTTCTATTTGACTATGTCACAGAGTTCTTTCTTATTCGTTTGGCAGGTGATCAATCAAAGCTCTCGTCCCTCCTCTACCTTGTCAGATCATATCATTAATTCTGCTATGGTGGGATCTTTTAGGGATCCATACAGGTATATATTATCCTGAGCGATTATTTATTTACTCAACGAATGTTTTGTATTCAGTTTTTAGAAAGAAAGAAAAACAAACTAACAGCTGAAACCTGATTATGGTGCAAGATTGAAGATAGCTAATGTTTATCATCTACTTGAGACTAGAAAAGTCTGCTTAGGATTGACAATTTTAGCAGAAGTCGCAGCGTTAGCTCAGGCTGCCAATCTTTTTGCTGGTATACTGCGGCTACGGCCAAAAACATTATATTCTAACTGTGGTTTGCCTGTCCACTTACCTCTGGTTTTCGATATACTATTTCAATTATTATTATTATTATTATTGTGTATACTGATGTTGAGACTTGAGAACATATTGCAGATATATATATACGACAAATTCACATAAACTGTGTTCTTAAAATGCTCTGAACCAGAGGTGAAAGATGCAGAAGACAACAAGAATGGCGATATTCTTGAAGCCAAGGAGGATGACTACCGTGTGGGACCAGCTGAAGTTCAGAGAAGGGCTACTGATGACCTTAATATTGGTTTCGCTGCCACCGATGTGCAAGAAGGACGGGCTTTACCCCCGGGAATACTCAGATTAATCTGTAATGAAAAACTTGAACGGTTCATGGAACATACTTCAGGAGACCAGATTCTGAACCATAATCTCAAGAATGCCTGTGCGGAGCAGGAAAGGTCTGTTTTGTCAAGTTTCCTTGACTTTCTTGAGAAACTCATCATTTCACAAAACATGAAAGATTCTCATGCCTCGCCTCATCTATCAATCTAATAGATACCAAAAATTATGTGAGCATGTAATCATATCTTGAACTGAACAAATACATTCTCTGAAAATGACTGTCTGTGAAGCATGCTTGCACGCATTTGAAAGTACTGCTACACCATTTTACTCTCATTTGGAAGAGTTGTGGAAACACGGATAATCGAACTGCCAAGGAAATAACATGAGGATAGATTAGAAGATAATTATGACATTAGAACAGTAACAAAACTAATCTCACAACAAAACGATATGGACTTATCTTCTCCATCCTGTCAAAATAGAAAATATAAGGCGAATGCATACATCTTTTTTAGTTATTGTGCTTATAAAACTAACATTTTTTGGCCTAAATCTTTTGATTTCACTGGTAGATGATGCTCTTATGTTCCCCTTTTGTTATCTTCTTCGTGCTTCCTGAATAAAAATAAGTTCTCATCAGGCTGGTGAAGCTAGAGCAGTCCCTCCCGATGCAGAAGACAGGAACTGAAGTTTTAGCTTTACATGATGCTGAGCCTGTGGTAGCAGTGATCATCCTCATGGCATAGAAAAACGTTGGCACATTCATCAGTGCTAGCGGTAATGGCAGTCTCGATGAAGGGTAAACTGTAAGACTGCTAAATAAGTTGAGACTTGAAACCATAACATTAACATTTCTCCAACTTTGCATCCTATTTTATGACTGAAGTTCAAGTCTGAAGATGGCGGTGTCTCAGATTTTTCTTAGAATTCTAAAAATGATGAACCAAATAAATCTTAACCACCAAAATTCAATTTAAACTGTCATTTGTTAGAATGCAAGTCCCATAACTTTGACAGATATATACTTCAATTGCTACTATGACTAAGAATACTGAAAACTGGAAAGGCTCAACTTTCAGGTAATTTATAATTGGGTTGTGATTTGAAGTTAATAGGCATCATAGTTCACAGTAATACAAAAAAAAGCTGCCATATTTGAACACCACTGCAATAAACCACATTCGAATTGCAGGGTCAATCCTTAATTACATCGTTAGCACCAGAATTCACAGTCCAAATACTTGTGAAATTGTCTTGTTGATGATTTGGTACAATTCCTCCCTGCAAAACCAGGTGGTTAAGAGTTAGGTCGTTAGGCTTTCACAAATTACCCATGGTGGTGCTCTCTTCTTCAAGGTAGAAAAAGATTGTATCTAGTGTACAAGTAACAACTTTGAGTTTCACCGTCAAGCAATCTCTAAAGTCGAGGAATTCTACTCACCGATCTGGTTTGAACAAGAGATACCGGTAAACAAACCACTGAAAAGGGAAAACATGAGTTAGTAAATGAAGCCTCCGCAGAGATGGGGAAACATAAATATGTACCAGCGACATGTTAAGCATGGTTGAAAGCTAGTGCTTGGGAACTTACTGCAGAAAACAGAATTCCAATAATTTCAAGCACAACTGGGATAATTGGCAACTTGTCAACAGCCTGTACATATCAAAGGAAGAGGCTTGAAGTTATGTTTGAACTCAAAGTAATTATTCTAATAGTTAAAACTGACAAATATGGTTTGTGACTCCAAAGCGATAGATTACCGAAATCACATTTGTTGATGTCCACAGGGCCACAATAGCTGCAAATCCCAGACCAATGAGACCTACCTTATCTTCATCAGATTTATCCCACTGTTCCAAGAAAAATAAAGCAAAATCAGGAAAAGGGGGGGGGGGGGGGAGAAATTATGTTTCCATGAATACCGTGCGCCACCTAAGGCAAGAATTGAAGATGAAGAGTTTCTCTTGCTTTACGGAAATTCAGGCATAGAAAATCTGTTATTTCTTGAACAAAGTACTTACTATGTTCCGAGCACATAAGGTGCGGAATCATGATAATGATATGCAAGTGTCTGCGTGTGAGAGAAACTTACAACATTTTGCACAGACTTGACGATACTAAGCGCAGTTGAAGACTCTGAGCTATAACCGGAAGCCTTCACAACAACAGCATAGTTTTGCCTCCCTGCAATGCAAGGAAATCAGGCAAGCCAGAACATTGCAACTAATATAAAACCTAATTGCCAAACATTTTCAGTTCTGAATCAAGTTTCCCCTCAACATCAGAGAAAACTAAAAACAATAACTCTATAATCCCCCCCCACGAATAAGTCTTAAGAACCTAATTTCAGTTTCAAGTAATTGTTCTGCACCTACAACGCAACTGCCAAATGATTAACAGAGTTGAATCCCCATCCCTGGAGTCGCAGCATGAATGATAATCGACTGACACCAACAGAACCGAAGACCATTAACTAAGAATTTATGCCTTGCCCTAAGTTAAATTTTCTCAACACCAATGATTTTCATGATAATTGTTCATTTCCACGTATATATATATATATATATATATATATATATATATATATACACACAATATTACCATTGTTTTAGCAGAAGTTCCACATTAATTTCCCCAAAACCTCATTTTTAACCTCGAACTGTCGAACATCCAGAGATTGATATTTATGGCTACGTTTATATGCAACTAAGAGCATCATCTATCTCATAAAAATCTATAACTAACATTTAAAAGGGTAAAAAAACAATGAAAATAGAGGCTCAAACTCAACCAAAAACCACCCAAGTGAAAATTTAGCCATAACATTTAAATTTACAGTAAAATCTAAAAGAAAGACAGTTGGTTTAGGACAAATCCAGTGAATAACACACCTCCGGCATAAGAAATTAGGGGTTTCTGAGAACTCCTGTAAAGGGTCTTTCTATTCTGTAAAAGCAATGGCGGAAGCAGACTGGCCGTAAGGGAAGCCATGAATTTACCTGATAAAATGGGGGAAAATGATAAAAAAAAAATTAAACTCCGAAAAATCCAAATGATTTATCATGAAAAATAACAAAGAGAAACAGAGTTCAAGGTTTCTACCTCAGTTGCAGCTAAATGAGAATCAGAGAACGAAAGGCTTTTTTAAAAAATAAATAAAAAAATTTCTGTGGTCAGGAAGCGAAAAACAAATTTGATAAACTACACCATTACTCAGTAATCTATTATTCCTTTCTATTTTAACAATCGAACTAATATTTTTAACAAAAATATCACTATTGCTGATTAGTAATTTAGTATGATGTACGGCTCATATTCTTTCCTGTTCCTCTGGGACGTTTCTTTTATTTTATTGTTAACGGTTCTGATGAGTTGCCCAATTGCCCTCACGTTTATGCTTGGCTAATTCACATTTTGGCCCTCAAACTATGCTTTCTTCTCACTTTAGTATTTATGTTTAGGCTTAATGATATATAAGGCCCTCAAACTTTTCCGAAAATGTAACCCTTTGTCAAATAGTTTCCCTCTTTGACTGTTACGATTCTGATATGCCAGTTCATGTTACTAACATAGCAATCAACAATGTTGTCGTGGTGGTTCATTGTGGCTAATGACATGGTTGATGGGCTAAATTGGTTTTTTTATAGAGTAAAATTGATTTTTTTTAAGTTTAAGGGTTTATTTGACTTTGAAAAAATAAAATAAAATTCTAAATTCTAAATATATAGAGAAATTTTTTTGTGGGTTTAACTAAGTTCAGTGCATGTATAAATATGCATCAGAGATGTTGAACGTAATTTTACGGTGAGTAAATACTAAAGTTGAGAATGAGTCCCAAAAGAAACATGATTACGATGATGTAACTAGCTATAGGTCACTTTGTTGTTTATGTTGGAGAAAACAAAAGAAGATACATAATTTTCATATCATGGTTGGCTCATCCCAAAACTTGCTTCAGAGAATTGAAGAGAAGTTCGATTTCCGAAGGCGGCTTTTTGCTCACAATAGCCTTTCAAATCCTAACAAACAACTCCTCATCTGCCAAACTAATTATGTAATCTGTTGAATCTGTAAACACAATAGTATCTTGCACATTACGAAACATTAAGACCAGCTTACTAATAGAGTATAATTAAGATAGGCTTATGGTATATAGCTAGATTGTAAATCGATTGAGTTTATTAGGCTTAACTGAATTTGTTAGACTTTCGGTTATGGGTTGACCCTTGTATCTGGGCTTTATATAGTTCTCTCTTGTAGGTTTGGGCTCACGTCTTTTTCATTTAAATGAAAATAATTTGCATTTTCTTTATTCTTCTTTTACTCTTCTGTTGTTAGTTTGGCAAAGATAGAAGATATCGTCGTCTTCTATCTTCTCTTAGCTTCACTGGAGTTAAGTTTTCTAGAATAGTATCAAAGCCTTTTCTGCTCGTCGCCTGTGATGTTCTGGAAATTTCTTTCTTGATCGAGAAAAATCATCGGATTGTATAAGTTTTCTTGTGCTTTGTGTTTGTTTCTTCGCTATGTTTTACTCTTCCTTTGTGTTATGTGTAGTTTCGTATTGATGTGTTACTTCCGTTAAGTGCGCTTCTTTCTTTCAATTTGTTTTATCTTCCTGTTTTTGTGAGTAAAGTGTGTTTCTCTCGAAGATCTGTTGCGTTTCCTTCCACACGTAAGACAGTTAGCTGTAAGTGGCTTTTCAAGGTCAAGCATAAATCGGATAGGTCTATAAATTAATTTAAACCTAGGTTGGTTGCCAAAGGTTACTCGTAGATTGCTGACAGTGATTTTCGAGAAATGTTCAGTCATGTTGTGCAAGCTGCCACAATTAGGACAGTGTTGGTCGTGTATGTTCTTCAGGGATTGACTATCATGCATATTGATATCTGTAAGGTATGGCTCATAAATATACCGGTAAAGAGGACAGGGGATGGAGCGGAGTGAGCAAAGCGAACATCAACTGTCCTTACAAAGAAAGTCTTGTAGAGGGGGTTACGATTATGTGGGTTGAGGGTGCGGGGGGTACGCCCCCGCGGTACAGTACAGGGTTAATTTTGTAATTATGTACCAGGGTTTTCTATTATAAATAGAGATGTAACCTAAACCTATGAGAATTGAATAAAATTTTCTAGCGCCGCCTAGGCACCGAGGATGTAAGCACATTGCCGAACCTCGTTAAAATTCTTGTGTTCGTTCGTTTACTTTGCCCGATTTATCAACAATTGGTATCTGATGTCAGGAGCAAAATTCGAAGTCGCGAAATTCGATGGTCTGGGTAACTTCGGATTATGGCAAACGAGGGTGAAGGATCTGTTGGCGCAGCAGGGGATCCTGAAGGCTTTGCGACCTACAAAGCCGGCGTCGATGGAGGAGGAAGGTTGGGAAGAATTGCAACAACAAGCGGCAGGAACCATACGATTATGCTTGGCGGACGAGGTTATGTATCACGTCATGCATCTATCGTCTCCAGAAGAAATTTGGAGAAAGTTGGAAAGTCAGTTTATGTCCAAATCCTTAACGACAAAACTGTATCTAAAGCAACGGTTGTATGGGCTGAAGATGTAGGACGATCATGATTTGGCGCAACACGTGAATGTCTTCATTCAAATCGTTTCTGATTTGGCTCGGCTTGATGTAAAAATTGAGGATGAAGACAAAGCGATGATTTTGTTGTATTCGTTGCCTCCCTCTTACGAACACATGGTGACTACTCTTACATATGGGAAAGAGACTATCAACGTTGAGGAGATTACTGCAGCCTTGTTGGCTCACAGCCAGCGGAAGCAGAATGCAGGGGAAAACTCTCAAGCCGATAGCTTATATGTCAAGGGTAATCGAGACCGTGGATGGAAGCCAGAGAAGGCAGGGTCTGGCAAGCGGAATTCCAGATCCAAATCTAGGGATAAGAAGACAATTCACTGTTACAAGTGCAAGGAGACGGGACATATGAAGCGAGACTATCCGAAGTTGAAAAAGCAGACTGATGAGAAGCGTGATGTTTCATCCAAGTCTGTGAACGTGGTCGAGGATGACAATTCTGATTGCAGTGAGGGTGATATGCTTTCTATTTCAACGACTCAATTGACGGATGCGTGGATTCTTGATTCTGGATGTTCTTATCACATCACACCAAATAGGGAATGGTTTTCGACATACAGGTCGGTTAATTCTGGTTCTGTTTATTTGGGTGATGATCGATGTTGCAATATTGTTGGTATTGGTGATGTCACAATTAAGATGTATGATGGCTCTGTTCGGACGTTGAGTGGTGTTCGACATATCCCAGATTTGAAGAAGAATTTGATTTTTTTGGGCACTTTGCACAAGAATGGTTTTATCCCTAAGGCTGATGAGGATAGGGAAACCATTCGGATTGTTAAAGGTGCTTTGACTGTGATTAAAGGAAAGATGACTACAGAAAATATTTATAGATTGTTAGGGAGTACCGTTGCATGTGGAGTTCATTCTGTTGAGTCATGTGATGATACTACAAAACTGTGGCATATGCGTCTTGCTCATCTTAGTGAACGTGGTATGACAGAATTACACAAAAGAAATCTGTTGCATGGTGTCAAAAGCTGTAAGCTCGATTTTTGCAAGTATTGTGTTCTTGGTAAACAGACTAAAGTCCGTTTCAAGACTGCGAGGCACACAACTCAAGGGATTCTTGATTATGTGCATTCTGATGTATGGGGGCCTTCCACGACATCGTCTTTGGGTGGATCTAGGTATTATGTTACTTTTATTGATGATTTTTCACGGAAAGTTTGGGTGTATTTTTTGAAACAGAAATCTGAAGTTTTTGAGAAGTTCAAGCTGTGGAAAGCTGAGGTAGAAAACCAAACAGGACGAAAAATCAAGTGTTTGCGGTCTGACAATAGTACGGAGTACACAGATTCACAGTTCTTACACTTCTGTAAGGAGCACAGGATTAAGAGACATTTTACAGTGCGCAAGACACCACAACAGAATGGTGTTGCGGAACGGATGAACAGGTCGTTGAATGAAAGAGTCAGATGTTTGTGATTGAATGCGGGGCTTCCCAAACACTTCTGGGCCGAGGCTATTAACATGGCGTGTTATCTTATCAACAGATCGCCAAGGGCATCATTGGCTGGGAAAGTTGCAGAAGAGGTATGGACTGGTCATGATGTTAGTTTTGATAACTTACGGATTTTTGGTTGTCCTGCTTATGTGCATGTACCTGCTGGTGGATCTAGGTATTATGTTACTTTTATTGATGAATTTTCACAGAAAGTTTGGGTGTATTTTTTGAAACAGAAATCTGAAGTTTTTGAGAAGTTCAAGCTGTGGAAAGCTGAGGTAGAAAACCAAACAGGACGAAAAATCAAGTGTTTGCGGTCTGACAATGGTACGGAGTACACAGATTCACAGTTCTTACACTTCTGTAAGGAGCACAGGATTAAGAGACATTTTACAGTGCGCAAGACACCACAACAGAATGGTGTTGCGGAACGGATGAACAGGTCGTTGAATGAAAGAGTCAGATGTTTGCGATTGAATGTGGGGCTTCCCAAACACTTCTGGGTCGAGGCTATTAACATGGCGTGTTATCTTATCAACAGATCGCCAATGGCATCATTGGCTGGGAAAGTTGCAGAAGAGGTATGGACTGGTCATGATGTTAGTTTTGATAACTTACGGATTTTTGGTTGTCCTGCTTATATGCATGTACCTGCTGATGAGAGATCCAAACTTGATGCAAAATTGAAGGAGTGCATTTTTCTGGGTTACAAGAAAGGTGTCAAAGGATTCAAGTTCTGGGATCCAGTTGCAAAGAAAATTATGATCAGTAGAGATGTTGTTTTTGATGAACAATCCATGTTACAACAGAAGAAAGACACGACAGTGGTGGATTTCGAGCAGTTTCCAGTTGAGAAACCAGAAACTTCTCAACCGACTTCTGGTGGTTCCACTACGGATGATTTGCAGGATTATAGTCTCGCCAGAGATAGGGTGAGATGGACGAATATAAAGCCTCTGAGTAGATTGGGTTTTGAAGACTTGGTCTCTTTTGCACTTATTGTTAGCAGTGATGATCCGGTTAATTTTCATGATGCTGTTACTAGTCAGGAAAACGATAAGTGGATGGCAGCCATGGTTGAGGAGATGGAGTCTTTGAATCACAATCGTACATGGGAGTT